CACTCCCCTGGTCTGGCTTGGGGGTCCCCATCGCCCCTGGGTCTAGAGGCCTGGGATCAAGTGTTACAAATGCCTTGAAGCAGAGGCAAGGCGTTTCTGAGACATAGTCAGCAGGTTCTAGTGACCGGCTGCAGGGGAGGAGAGAAGAGACTGACACCGTGCCCGCCCAGCACCCCAGGGCTGACTCCACTCTCTGCTGGAAGCCAAGGGGGTGGGGCGCTTCTTCCTGGTGCTGCCAGGATTGCCGCTGTGAGCGCTGGGCCTGGCCCCTCCTCAGGCCTGGGCTCCAGGGCTTTGGGGAGAATGCTGGGGGTGGCCGAGGTGGAAGGGCGGATGTGAGGGCTGGGATGCACCGGCTCCCTGTGGGGCAGGGTCCATTTGTTCTGGGTTCCATCCCTGCCTTCTTTTTCTCTCAAGTGCTTTCTGCTCCAAGGCCTTTGCAGCAATATGAATAAATGACCTGGCAGGATAGAGGTGCCTTAAATGAACTCCACGGACTCCAGCTGCAGCCTGTGGCATAGACCCTGAGAGCCAGGGATGGCCCCCGGGAGGAGGGAGACTCTCCAGCTTGCGTGGGGCACGTGGGAGGAAGTAGGTGAGATCCGTGGGCTGGGCTGGGTCTCTGGGACCTTTGAGAGATTAAAGTACATCAGCAGGAGGCAAATGTTACTGTATCTGCGCATCTTCAGGGAAACAGATGGTTTTATTTAGCAAACTTTTTCTCAGCCTCTCCTTCGTGAACCTGCCCTTGAAAAGAGGTTTAGTGCTTCACATGCACCATTACTTTTGGGCAAATATCCGTGAGTCAGAATCACACTGGGAGGTACAGATCTCTTCCTAATGACTTTTTAAAAGGTGGGCGGAGAGGGAGAGGGGCTGCGAGGGGGTGGAAGGAGCTTGAGGAGAGCAGAATTTGGGGAAGTTCTAGAAGAGAGGGAGGCAATGCCTGGTCAAGCTGGAAAGTCTGCTCCATGGGTCCTTGTCTACGGGAGGCCAGGGCCCCTGCTCTGGTCCTTCCACTGGCACTTCATTAATGAGACAGAGGAATAAATGGCATATTAATGAAGTTAACGATGAGAATCTGTCTTCATTTCTTGCCTCCAGTTGTCCTGCTGTGTGGCTGTCAAACAGCTGTCAGTTTCCCCCGGGAAGGGTGGGCATCTCAGCAGTGAGTGATCTGATCTCTGCCCCGGGCAGGGCAGTGGCAACAGGGGCTCTCAGCAGGAAGGGAGATGCCCTGGTCCCAGGGGGTTAGTCTCCTGGGGCAGCTGAGGGGCATGTCTGTAAATAGGTCCTCCGGGGGATGCCAAAACCGGCAGGGCTTTGGTCGCAGCCAAGGACACATACTTGAAGAGCCAGTGACAGGGGCTTTATCTTCCTCATTGACCGGAGGGTGGAGGGCTTCACCCACCTCCTCCTGCTCCAACACGCAGGAATCTGTTGGTCTTACCAGGGTGTGGCTGTTCTGTTTGCAGCCTTCCCTGCGGTTGGCCATCCGGCTCTGGACCACCCACTTCCTTCCATTCTCCCACTCCTCTGGCTTCTCCCTCCCAGTAGCAGCAGGATCCTCCCATCCCTGCCTCTAAACAGTGCACTTCTAAACACACACACACTCTCTCTCTGATCAACCGTAATGTTAATGCCCATTTCTATTCTCAGGACTCCCAAATGTATGGCCCCTCATGGACCTCTCTTCTAGACTCCAGACTCATACATCCCACCTGACATCTCCATGTGGATGTCTCACAGAAATCTAAAATCTCTCAGATGCTCAAAGGTGGACTTTGATCTGCTATTTACATCCTCTTCTGTTTCTGCCTAACTGGGCAAATGGCGCCTCCATCCACCCGGCTGCTCAAACCAGAAACGAGGCAATATTGTCGATGCTTGCCTTCCTCTCTCCTGTACGAGTAGCTCACCACCAAGCCCTGCCAATGCCACCTCCAAATTCAGTCTCAAGCCTGCCCCTTCTCTCCGTCTCCAAGGGCAAAACGAGCTCTCATCTGCCTAATCACAGCCACCTCCTAACGGATCTCTCTGCTTCCCTGTGTTCACCTGCCCCACTTTCCACATGGCGGCGAGTGCTCTTTCAAAATTATAAGGTGAAGCACGTCACTCCTTTGTTTCAAACCCTCCAATGGCTCCCCCTTGCACTAGGAAAAGAATCCAGAACACTTGCCAAGACCCATAGGGCCCTACCTGATTAGAGTTCAAGCCTTCCTCCTCACCCTCCCAGAAGAGCTGAACTATTCCAGGGTCTCCCTGCTCCCAGGACTGCGTATTCTGCTCTCTCCATTTGACCATTCTTTCCCCCAAGTCTTCACATGGCATCCCTCAGGCCTCTTCCTCCAAAGCCACACCCCGCTCTGGACTGTGTGTTCCCGAAGGACAGGGAGGGGATCTGTTTTACCAAGAGTGGGACCGGAGTGAGGCAAACCAGGTGCCCAGGGTAGAAAAGTGAAGGAGGTTCATGCATGCCTCCAAGAACGTGGGCCTCCTTAAATTTTGCCCCCTAGGTACCTTGTTTCCCGTACCCTGGTCTTGGCTCCATATTTTACTCACCGCTATATTCCCAGGACTGAGCACAGTGCCTGGTATGTAACACACTCACCAAATATTTGTTGAATGAATGAACAACCTAGCTGTGTGGGATGCACCTGGTTAGGAAGGTGGTGAAAAGGGCTGGTGTGAGGAGTGGACCCTTTGTTAACTTCAGCCTCTGGTCTGTCCAGGAGTATCCCTGCGGGTGACAAGACGGCTCCAGGGTTGAGCCTCAGCGTGTGGTCTGAGGAACCACGGGAATCTCCTGTGTTGGACCTCCCTTGGGGGAAGTGGAGGCTTGATTCTTGAGCTGTGCCCAAGACCTACTGAGAGAACCTCCGAAGTTGGGGCATGGATGTGTGAGTGGCTGAGAAGCTTCCCAGGTGATTATTACGTATCCTCAGTTTGCAACATAAGGCAATTGAGGGGATTCTGAGGCTGCCCTGGATCAAACCCTAGTAGAATCGCAGTGGCGTGGAACATAACCAGCGTCTTTCAATATCAATGCCGCCAAACTGAAGTTAGGATGATGAAAGGGCTCTCTTTTGTTGGGTGCAAACAAGGGTTCTGATGGATCAAAGCCATGCCAGATCCTCCTGGGGTGGCGTGCTCACTCTCCCTCTTTACCTTTTCTCTACGCACCATAGGTACACTGGATAGCTAAATTTTAACAAGAAGATGCTTCCCCCCAAACTTAGAGAGTTTAGGAAACCTGGATAGGGTTTTAAAAATGTCTGACACTATTCTGTAAATACTCCAATTGTAGTAGTTTTCCAAGTGTGTTTCCCTGGCCAACAGCATCAACACCATTAGGAACTTGCCAGAGATGGAAAATTATCGGGCCCCACCCTCACCAGGGTGAGAACCATTGCCTTTTCCATTTACAAGAACCAGTTGAGAATGCACACTCTGGCCAGGATTTTGAAGTTGCTTCGACTTCCTTTAACCTACTTATTTTGGTGATCAAAACCAAAGTCAAGAGAGAAGGAGACTAAGAGATATGGAGCCCCTGGATACTTAACATACATCTACTTCATCTCATTCATACCACATTCCTCGGAGAAGCCCATAATCATTGCCATCTTGAGGTTCAGAGAAGTTAAGTAACTTGCCTAAGCTCTCGGAGTGATTGACCAAGTCTGGATTTTAGACTCCTGTCTGTCGACTCTAACGACCTTGCTCTTCTCCACCACGTCACTGAGCCTCCTCTGGAACTGTGTGTGCACCACTAACTCCCTTCCACCCTACCTTCTGCCCCGGGCTGTTAAGGACCAGGTGGGCTAAGGACCTATCTGAGCCTTGAACGTGAAACTTCCAGTTGTTCTGGTACCTCCTTCTGCTGCTTCCTCTAGAAAGGAGACAAGTGGGTGGTGTCAGCCAACATTACAGATTGTGAGGGGATCCATCTCATGAGCACTTAAACCAGCCAGTTCTGCCCCCCTGCCCTCAGCCTGCCATTCCTCACAAAATGCACCTGTACGTCAACGTCTCATGAGGTACTCAGTTGCCCCCGCGGACACTGTCTCATGTCCGGGAGAAGGTTGGGAGAGGAGGAAGCTGGGCCAATGGCAGGCAGAACCCCTGGGCCGGAAGTTCTGGTCTCCATGCAAGGACCCTACACTCTCTCTGCACAGATCTTCCCACCTGAGCTTCTCCAGGGTGCAGACACCAAGACTGGTGGAAGGGGTGGGGGTGGGGGGAAACCTTTATATGAAGAAGTTTGTCTCCTGCAGAATGGGAGGTATTTTCTTCACTTTCATTTTCTTGCTTCCTTAGGTTTTGGGGCGGGGGTCGGGGGTGGTTTGCAGTCCCTGTGGGCTTCATGGGAGAGTTGCAGGTGTCCTATGTGGGGATTCATCCCCTTGATGAGGAATCTTTGCAGATGTAAGGAAGACAACCCCAATCACATGTCTCTAGGCAGCAAGAGAAACCACAAGTGATTGGTCAACTCATCCAGTCCTAGCTTCTAAACAGGACGACACTAAACTGAACAATGGAGCCCTCTTTTGAAAATATCACTCATACTTTTCCCAGTGGTCCACCATCCTGGAACTCAGGAAATTCTCCTGATGTCCAATCCATGTATGCCCTTCCTTCCCAGTTCCCACCTACTATTTCACCATGATGCAGACATTACACCTTCAAAGTCTGGAAGATTATCTCAATTTTCACTGAATTCTCTTCTCCAAAGCCAAGAAATTCAGTTTCCTCGGTCTTCTAAAGCTTCCAGGCATTTTAATGCTCCTCATGGAGACCCACAATAATCAACAAAGAACTCTCAACTGGGGGTCTGGTGGGAAGCTAGGGTCTTGGCTCTTCATCCAACGAGAGGGGAGGGAATCACTAGTCTGTTTCAAGAGAATTCGTATAAACAGCCCTGGTGGGGGTGGGGGAGTGGGGGAATACATGGGGTTTGGGGCAGAACCTTGGGTTCAAGTCCCCGCTCTTCTGTTTTCCAGCTGCATGACTGTGAAAGTCATCGAACTTCTCTGACCTTGTCTGACCGTGAGCATCAGCCATCCTCAGGGTGAGTTCCTACAGGGCAGCTGCTCTGAGTCCCTGAGTTGAAGGCGTATGAGGAGACCACACAGTAGAACTACCAGCTGCTAGTAGAAAAACCACGACGCACATGAGGTAAGCATGCAGTCTGTAAACCTCACTTCCCAGCCCTGCAGCCTCTGGGCAGGCTGACCAAAACCCACCTGGTGGCCTGAAGGGCTAGGTGTGCCCCCTGAATGTCTGGGTCAGCAAGAGGAGAAGGAGGGCCGCCATGTCCCAGGGTGGAGGGCGACAGCGAGGGCTTCTTTTAGCCTGCCTTTTAGAGACCAGCTCCTGGCTCCAGGGCCCACAGAAAGCTGTGCTGGTTTGTAGGTGGCCTTTATCCTGTATCCCAACCTGGGCTTCCCCACCCATAAGCACCTTCAACAAGCAGGGTTGGGGAAGACATCTCGTAGGTCTTCTCAGGCTGCAGGTTCCAGCTTGGGTATCCCCAGCACTAGGATGAACTTAGAGCCAGGAAGCTTGGGTTCAAATCCCAACCCTGATGCTAACCAGCAGAATGATCGACGGTGAGTCACTGTGGCTCCCTGAGCTGCGGTTTCCTCAGCTGTAAAATGAAAGCATTGTACCGGGTGACTTTGCCTTCTCATCATAAAACGGGATTAACTGTGCGGCTGAATGCCTGTATGCACTTTACCCGCTGCAGGCTGACTCTTCAAGCATTTCCGCACACTTTCAAACCCCTTTCTGCTTTGTCCTGCCGTGGAGCTGTCTCTGGCAGCTGACTGGGGTTGGCTTCTGACATCTTCAAGCTGCATTCTGACAATGCATCACTGGAAGGAGAATCAGGTAGCAGGGAGGAGGCCGAGGGACAAGGGAGCACGTCTCTGAGGCCCCTAAAGATGCCCACGGAGCTCTGCGCCGGTGGTTGTTCTGAACCAGGCCCCAGGCCTCTCTTCCCCCTCTGCTCACCCAGGAGTACAATGATGAAACACCAAATTAGCTCCATTATTGTAACTCCACAAATTATAGGCCGCTTGTTCCACCAGAGCCAGCTAATGTCTCCCACCCATGAGCAGGTGACACTAATGGGTGTTTCCTCCCTTCTAGGCACCAAGTGCGGAGTGGGCAAAAACAGGATGAGGCTTGGGCTGGGAGGCAACTTGGAGAGTGGGGGTCCGGGGAGCCCAGGCTTCCACCTGCTCGTGTAACAGAGCCACGGCTAGTGGGGGCCTCGGCTCCACTGCAGAAGGAATCCAGCAGCCAATGCTTCCTTCTTACCCTTCCTCCCTACCCGACTCCCATCTGCCTTTCCTCTTACACCACACAGAGCATCTCCTGTCCTGTCGGCGGAAGCCACTCTTCCTCAAGGGGGGAGGCCCCAAACGAGAGTGGAAACAGTGTGTTCCCAGGCAGACCCAGGCCCCTGACCTCCAGGCCAGGCAACGGGAACTGACAGAACCCATGTTCACTGACGTCCACATGGCCCCTGGCTCTGCAGAGCGCCCAGCCACTCCCTTAGCCCCGTGCCTTCTTCAAGACTAGGGTGGGAGCTGGGTCTCTTTAAAGGATTCCCGACCAAGCACCTTCTGCAGTGAGTAGCTTCAGAGTAAAGCCCTCTCTGTGGTAATCAGTGTAAGAGCTCAGGAGGCCTTAGATATTACAAAGATCTCTTCTCATTTTACAGATCAGGGAAACAAGGCTTTGAAAGGCTGTGTGGCCCAGGTGACACTAGAGGGAGTTCCCCAATTCCTAGACCACTTTGGAACCCCTTTCTCTCACTTTCCAATTTCACCCCACGTGCATAAATTGAGTACCTACTAGATGCCGGTTAAGGGCTAAAGGTTACGAGCTACAAGGGACATACAAACAAACGAGACCAATGGGTGGCAGGAAGAAAGTCGAAATCCCCAGATGCCAGGGACTGCCTACCTCTACCACAGTTAAGGATGATTACAAGGAAAAACAGTCAACCCACTACCCATAGCCAGCATTCACTGAGAGCTTGCCATGCTCTGGGCACTGGCTAAGCCCTCTGTGTGTTTATGGAATAGGAATTATTCTTACCCACATTTTACAGGTGAGGAAGCAAGCACAGAGAGAGTCACAGAGATATAAACCAGAGATATCAACTAAAGAGCAGGTGCATGTGGCTTGAACCCACACACCCTCTTAATCACCAAGTCAAACCAGCTTGATTTTCCGAAAGGTCGCCGCCATAGGGATCAAATTCGTCACACTCATTACCCAATGTTTGGGATTCCCCCAAATGCTTCTGGATTCCTGATTAAGTAGTGAGTGACAGAGCTTTACATATATTATCTCAGTTACTCTTTTCTTTTTTTTTCTTAATGTGTATTTATTTTTGAAAGAGAGAGAGGGAGAGAGAGCGAGCGCAAGCAGGGGACGGGCAGAGAGACAGGGAGACAGAGAATCCCAAGCAGACTCTGAGCTGTCAGTGCAGAGCCCTATGCAGGGCTCAAATCCATGAACCAAACCATGAGATCATGACCTGAGCCAAAATCAAGAGTCGGACGCTCGACTGAGCCACCCAGGCGCCCCCAGTTAATCATTGTCATCAATCTTTTAAAGAGCATCTCATTTGTCAAAACAAATTTAGTCAAAACTAGGTCTTATGATTACCCCCACTTTGCAGATGAAGAAACTGAGGCCTACAGGGCTACAGTTTTGGAATTCGAAGGCCACGCTTTGAACAGCCCCCATGATGTTCATTATTCTTTCCTGTGCTAGGGCCAGGGATAGCTTTGCTTTCCCCCAAGCACCTGGTCTGTTTTCATGGACACAGAATTCTGGGACTATGTTTCCCTCTTTGCATTAGCTGCTAGAACACTCCAGGTCAAATGTGTGCCTACTCTGGACGGTGGACAGCAGGACCTGCTGTGCTGTGTAGAGGCTTCTCTGAACTTCATTTGACTGTCCTTCATGGATCCTTTTGCTATATTTGTATGATGTTTTAAACTTAGTTTTAATCACGGTATAGGTCTTACGAGCTAGCTAAATCCGTTTGGGAGCAACACAAAGTAACAGACAAAAATAAATGAAAGTTTCTGCTACTCAGGGTGCAAACTTCAGACAGTTCACTTTGTCTCTCTTAGCTTAATTTGCTTTATCTGCAGACTTAGGATAATGCCCCTACCAAGACTTGCTGAGGATTAAATGAGACAATGTGTGCAAAAAGCTCTTTAAATCCAATAGTGCCATATAAAGGCAAGCAAGACCTGTCGGTAACATTATTATTAATGACAAGACGGGCCCGTGGCCCGGGGCACTTGCACTATGTATGGTCTGGACCCAGGGACTGGTGAAGAGGGTCTAGCTGGATGGCACCCAGTCCAACATGGTGGAAGACTCCCACAGCCATCCTGCTTTCTCAGAGCGGCCTGATGCTTCCTGGGTAGGGGAATGGACCTATACCAGACCTCACACCTGCCACATCTGGAGGCAAGCCTTAGTAGAAGCTGTCCCTGCTGCACTGCCCACGGAGGAGCTGACTGGGGTCCCCCATGGGAAGGTCAGCAGTTCACTGTGAGGTTCTAAGTCTCCCCAGAACCCTCCAGGGATGTGTCAGCCTCGTGACCAGCAGCCCCTCCTCCTGCTCACACCTCAGGGTGCTCAGGGTTGGCTAATAATAGATAAGGAGTGGCCGTGGTCGGTGGTGAGAAGGCAGGCCTGGGGCCCACCAGACCAGTGAGTCTGGCTTGACTACTCCACCTCTGAGCCTCGGACCTACACTTCTAACCATCCCCTTCCTCTTCTTCTCCACACACATCCTTCCCTTCCTTCCAGCATTCTTCCAGAATCACTTAACCCCAGAACTTCCAGGCCTCGTCTAGTCAATGCATCAGCACTGTCTGAGTCTCTGCCGCATCCATGTGATTTTTTCTCAGCAACAGGAGGACTTTGGAGATCATCAAAATAGTAATGGCGGTTATCTCAGGACAATGGGCTTACGGTGAACAGTATTTCTGTTTTGCGCGGCTTTCTGTATTTTCCAAAATATCTAAAACACAACTGTAATGATTTGCCTTGAGGCAAGGAAGGATGAAATATATTACAGCCATACGCCTTTTAAAGAAAAGGATCTGTTTTGGTTTTCTGTTCTAAAACCATGTGTGGGTGGCTCAGTCGGTTGAGCATCCGACTCTGGATTTTCGCTCAGGTCATGATCTCACAGTTCATGGGATCGAGCCCCACGTTGGGCTCTGCGCTGACAGCTCAGAGCCTGCTTGGGATGCTCTGTCTTCCTCTCTCTCTGCCCCTCCCCTGCTCATGTTCTCTCTATCTCTCTCTCAAAATAAATAAACGTTGTTTTAGAAATTAAAAAAAAAAAAGAGTAAAAAACGTGAGTCCAGAAATTTCCTCAGTTTGCCTCATCTATAAAATAGAAATACTGATTTCTTACTGGGTCATGAACTTGGAATGCAGTCATAAACTTGGAAAGTGCTTTATAAGCATGTTAGGTATTATTGCTGTTGGCATCAGGAGCAATCACCTATGGCAAGAAGCTATGAAGGTCCTTTCTCATTGATACTTAACACAGCCTCACCGCAACCTTGTGAAATACAGATTGTTTTGCAATTTTACTAATGAGGAAACAGAGAGGGGACATGATCCATCTGAGGCCACACAGCAGAGGCAGGAGGATTCAAGCCTTGATCTCCCGACTCCAAGTCCTGCTTACCTGCAAGTCTTTGAGGGCTGACACCATATCTGCTAAATGCCTCGTGGGGCCTGCCCAACAGCCCCGAGCTGACTGTGTGGCCTTAAAACAGCTGTACCCCCTTATCCTCAGCTTCCCCACGAGTGAAACCAAGAAATAATCTTTATCCTCTTTTCTCGACTTGTGTGAGACACAACCTGGAGCAGTTGTGGGCTTATTATAAGCACTCGTATGGGCATTGAATAGTAAGCTGCATAATCTTTAGGACCCAGGGTCTTCCCCAGAATATTCTTTTCCAAAGGGAGTTTCTTAGGGCAGCTGGAGCCCTCTGAGGAGGGGAAATGACAAAAAGCTAATCAAACAAGCTCGTGTCGGGGACCCACACTGTGTGTGTGTGTGTGTGTGTGTGTGTGTGTGTGTGTGTGTGTGTGCAGGGCTGCCTGCTGTGGTCGGGCCCAGGGAGGCCCCTGCTGATACCAGCTGGCCACACTGGAGGCGGCAGGACACTGCTGAGAATCTCCTTCCCATCTCACGCAAGAAGAAACAACTGTTCCGTCAGAGTTTCTCTGGTAAACAGCGCCCAAATAGTGTTGGGTGATTATTTTTCCTTAGGGAACACTCACTCCCTAAAGACAGCTGCGTGTCTGCCCAGACTTGGATAGGATTTACTAATATATATTAAAAAAAAAAAAAAGGTCCTGTCAGCAGGAATTGGAATTACAAAGGCGCTCGCTGCCTGCCTTTTCCCCTGGCCTCTTTTTTTCCTCAGACCTACCAAAAAGGCCCAGAAGCAAGACGGAAGTTTAGTGCCCCTGTTTCTCCCCCTTAAAAGCCACCCTGGAGCCCTAACCCCTACCTTCAAACTGTCTGTCCAGGGTCTGCCCTCCCAGGACAACTTGCCGAATCACACCCCCTTTCCCCGATGCCCTTGAGGCTCTCAAAACTCAGCTGTTCTACGGCCTTCCTTCCTGCTCTTCTACTTTCTGCTAACTTGCAGCTAATCTGACACATGATTAATCTGATGCATCTGATGATACATTTGAGGACGTGGTAGGGGGGGCTCCTCCGAGTGTCACTTCAGCGGGGACCTTGGGGCAGGTGGTGACTCAGCCAGAGATGGTTTCTGCGATGAGGGGGGAAGCGTTTTCCAGCAGGTGCCTCAAATCACAAAGCCAGCCTGTCTCCAGCTTCTCAAGAAGGGCAATGCTCATCATGTTTGCAAGATACACTACCAGAGCTGTTTTCTCTCTCTGGATGTTGGACTGTTCCTAGCACACGGTCCAATGTGTCACTACCAAGACGTGAGTCAGCCAAAGGCTCTCGGGAGGAATGGACTCAGCCCCCTAGGGAAGGAGCCCCACGCAGTGCTCTTCTAGGGGGTGGGAGGAACAATCTCTCCCCATCCTGCCCCACAAAGACAGGACTCCCTTATTCAAAGAAAGGGGCTCTGGAGAGGACTTGCCAGGCGAGGAGGGACTGAAGCTCCCTTCGTTCCCTCTGAGTTCCCCCTTCTTCAGGGTTTTTTCTCTGGGTCTAGCTGCCCCCTTGAGTTCTGCCTGTGCACTCTCATTAAAGCTCAGTTGGTTGGGTGTCCGACTCTTGATTTCGGCTAAGGTCATGATCTCACAGTTCGTGAGTTCGAGCCCCACATTGGGCTCTGTGCTGATGATGCGGACCCTGCTCAGGATTCTCTCTCTCCTTTCTGTTGCTCTGCCCCTACCTTGCTTGCTCTCTCTCTCTCAAATAAATAAATAAACTTAATTAAAAATTTTAAAAATAAAGCTCTAATTCAAGTGCAGACCCAAATCTTGTCTACTCCTGGTTCCCACAGCATCCCTGAAATGGCCTATAGGAACTTCTCTAAATACTAAGAGTTAAATGGAAATAACCACAGACAATGCAAAAGGCTTGCAGGTAGAATGCTTTTGGAGTCTTTAATCATTGGGCTCTAGCCCTGAAGGGCTGGGACAGCCTCGCAGGCCCATCCCTGGGGTTTCCCCTGGCAACTCTCTGCCCATTTCTGGGGAGTGGCATCCTTTCTTTTCTCAACACTCATCTATGGTCTCCTAACAGCCCGTATCCTTCCTGGCTGAGACCCCATCCAAGACATATACCAGTCTGGCGCCTCCCTTGGTGGGAAGAGCTCAACCCACTGGCAGAACTGGGAGGGCTGAGATGGAGGGTGTCTTCCCCTTTCCTATCTTGGTGGTCCCTCTGCCTAGCCTGCTAAGGAGGGACTTCTTCCCGCATACACAGGGAGGGCCCCACATGCCATTTTATGGGCTCACAGAATACCAGTGGCCACAGCAGTTGTTAGGTAACAAGAGAAAGCAGACGTTACTGAAAACCACAATTGCCTTCTCTGGAGGGTGGAGCCTGGGAAAGGCAATAAACCAGTCTCAGGCTTCCACTGCTCTTGGAGAAGATGGTCCATCATTACTCAACTGAATACTCTGACGGTTTTGAATGTTCGAAGATGGAGCTGGAATCTGGCCCAGGCATAGGAGCTGGAGAGAACTAATTGCCCAGGGCAATTTAAGGAGGGCCTTTGTTTATTTGTTTGTGCTTTGAGTCTTGGAAGCTGAGAAAGATGGAGAGGAGCCCAGAGAAGGACGGGAGCCGGCAGTCTATGGAGGCTTGGTGGGAGAGGCCCTCGGAGCGGGTGCTCACCAGCAGTCCACAGGGTTTTGCCGGGTTCTCCACTGGGTGGTGGGGGGAGAGATACAGTTCCCATGACAGCAAACCTCCAACCAAAGTGTGGCTATTCACTTTGTTTCGCCTGGGGATGGGTGGACCGGGCTTATGTCCCATGACTGGGTCAGTGAAGGAAGAGCTACCAGAGGCAGAGAGGAGGACATTTCAGAAGAGGCAGGAAATTAGAGTGAAAGGGAGGACATCTGCTTCCCCATCCCCGAAGAGGCAGGACCTTGGGGACAGCCCTCCCTAGCCAGCTCCTGAGAGGCAGCAGAGGGGAGGACTGGGTCACATACAGTACGGCCAAGTCACCTGGGTTTGGCTCCTGGCTCTGTATCTCCCTGGCTTTTTGCTCTTGAGCAGGTTGCCTGAGTTTCCCCTCCTGAAAACTGGGGACAACAGCAGTATCCACCCTGCAGGGACGTGGTGAGGATGAAAGGTAAGCTTTGTCACCCGGAGCCTGGCACATAAGAGCCAGAGAAGCCCTAGCTGATGCCCGCTTACACCTGTAATCGGACTCCCCACAGACAGTAATCTGAGCCCTGTTCTTCCGTCCCTTCTCCGGGTGCCTCGACCCCACTGCACAGACTCAAACACATGCTTTCTGATCACAATATAAATTACCTCCCAGAGAAACCAGTGTCATAGTCAGGGATGCTGGTGCACTCCCTGAACGCCAGGCTGTGCCCAGGGTGCTCTCCCTGCTTTGAGTCCTTGTCTCTAGGCCAAGTGGACTGTGCCAGAAACTCTCAATCCCAAGTTTCGCTACAGCCCTAGAGAGACCCTCAAGGTCTCAGAGACTTTGTCCAGAGAGGAAGGCATTGAATATTCATGGAGAATGAGTAGGTGTCAACTCAGACATAAGAGGAAAATGTGCCTACAGGGACAACCGATGAGGATGAATGGGGGCCAGATGGGCACGGGCTTTGCAGGGGAGGGAGGGTGGGGAATGCTGTCTGCTGGAGAGGCCACATATTTCTACATAGTTGCTGATGCTAAAATACCCTAGAAACATGCTAGCAACTGGACAAGGTTGACCTAGACCCCCTACGGCTAGCCCTGCCAACTTCCTCCTCCAAAGGATAAATATTTATGTGCAATGGGGAGGCTTTGAAGTCGGGCTTAGTTGACTTTGGGTCTCAGGTACTGTGATAAATGGCCTCTCTTTCCTCCTTGGTTTTTGTGCTGACATTGCTTGTTGGTTTGCCCTATTTCCAGTCTCAGTGGAGACTAGAAGTCTCTTCCAAGCAAGAGGCTAACTGTGGGCAGTGAGAACGTGGTCTTTGCCATGTGCCCTTTGACACTTCGTGCCTTGGACTCCTGGTCATCTCTTGACCCTCTTCCTTGCAGGATTCAGAGACTCACAGGCATAGAATGAAGACAGCCAGTAGGCAATGACTTTGGAAGGGAAGGGGAGAGATGACGAGTGAGTAACAGAAACCAGGGCAAGAGAATTCCCCATAAAGGGCAGTAGCCAGAGCACAGGATGAGATCTTGGGTTTGGGGTCCAGATTTGCATGGACTCACCAAGCCACCCCAGACAAGCATGACCTCTCTGGTCATGACTTGATCATCTGGAGGAAGAGGACATGAGGCCAGACAGGTCATCTCTGAGGCCCTTTCCAACTCTGACCTTCCCCAAGTCCATGAGAACATGAAGTGCTAGCACTGTGGTCCACAGAAACCCCTCAGAGGCTGGCCCAGTTCTCCCAAGGTGGTTGCTATTCTGCTCATGGTTACATCTAGTGACCCCAGTC